TGATATGATAAAAAAAAATAAAGCAGAGGGGATCATTAAGACAGTGGAAAAAGTCAGATGAGTAAGCAGCACCAGGATGAAAAATTTTTTTTATAAATACTTGCAAAAAGATAGAGCTCAAAAAGGAGGACTGCACATCCATTTTCTTGAACAAATACACATTGCAGAGTTACAACTTTGCTCCTGAAATAGGGTCATATAAACTTTAGTTAACAGAATACTTCTCTCTCATTTCTTCCCACTACTAGTTTTTGGACCTTGTTTTCAAGCCTTTCTTTTCTCCTTTTTCATTATGCCTTTGATTAGAGACCTGCCCAACAGTCTCTACAGAACACGATTTTAATGGCATGTTTGGGTCCCTCCTTGGAAAGCCAAGATACCTTCTACTCAAAAATAAGACTGATTCCAAGCTCTGGGACTTCTGGTCTGAGCCAGAAGAAATATTTTAGCACTGAAACGTATTTAAGGCTACAAGCTTTGCAAACTATTCCCATTAAACAATGACCTCAAGGCAGTACTTCTTCAAGCTGCAGATCAAATACATTCCATGGTTCAGTAAAGTACAGTTTACATGCATCTCTAAGTCTGAGATTAAGGAATTATTAATTGGTTTCCATCTGGTTTCCATCCTGGAGTTGAAGTTCTAATAGCTTCACTTTGTGGACTTAAGTATTTCCTTAAAAAACAGTAAACAGCAATTCTTTTCCTGACCTTCTAAGCAGATACAAAGAAAGCAGGAATGAGAAGTCATAGAAAAAACAAGTGTAGTTAAAAATTTGTGTCTTTTATATGCCATTTGCAACAAAAGAAAAGATTTCAGCATGGGTTTTGAAAATGCCTACAAGCTACTTTCTAAATAAAACTGCACCAATACTTGGAATAAACTTTTTTTTTTCCCCTACACAATGTATCCAGCTCCTACAAAGGAAAAACGACTACAGCTACTACAAAAAATTGGAGTGATCTCCTGTTATGTGATAAAGGGCCAGTTTTACATCCCTATCAAAGTTATAGGGTATAACCCACAGCAATAAAGGAGCTGTCATTTCACTCATAGCACACGTCCTTGGCACACAGAATAACTTCTCCTGAGAAAATAAATACTTCACTACTAGAATGTCCAAGGAACAACTCTGGGACTGATTTAGAAACACAAATAATTATCCACTGGTAGGAAGCTGTTTTCTCACTAACTTTGGGGTTTACTACATGGTAGTTTACACCAGGATACTCCGTAAATCTCAATGTCATTTGTTCTTAGCTAAGAATTCATTCACTGTTTTCTAAAATAACACTCAAAAATTCCACCTGCCACCGTGGGCGCAACTTTTGTTTTCTTAAACTACAGAAGTTCCTGACATTGAGTTTAGCTGACACAGCACTTCCCGGGAGCTAACTAAAAAATGCTCTTCCATAGTCAGTCTGTACATGGGCAACCTCACAGTAATTGTATCTATTATTCAACATTAAATAAGTTGTAAACATTACTGAATAATGGTTTATTAATTATGCAAGAGAAACCAGTAAACCTAGTAAAAAAGGCTTACAGGAAAAAACCCTTTTCTTTGTATTTTCCTAAATTTTCAGAAGCCCAGAGGTGAGTCAGATCTTTATGAGCTATTTAGTCAACAGAGCTATATTGAATCAACAACAAATATTCATGTTTCAAGGCCTCTATTAAGTCTCATAGCATGAGGCTCAAGTTATTAATTTCCCCACCTCCTCACTGACAGCAGTGGGAACAGAGTTTCTGTGTGTAGACTAATCTGTCATTCAGCTGTCATGGTATAGTTATATCAGGAACATCCTCCTTTCTTGATACAACTTTTCTTCTTAAAAAGAACACCCTCCACGAGTGTTAATGATTTTGATAGTATTACAAGTGATTTAAGTCATCCTTACTATAGCTTCTGTAGTCACTTTTTGAAGAGGCTGTAATCTGACATTCCTTTAAAAAGCCCCATAAAAAACTGCTTTTCTCCTAAGTCAAAGTTCTTTGGCAAGAAACTGAATTCAGCGAATAGCTCCCCAAAATAAGACTCCTACCTCCAATCACAGGCAGTGATATTAAAGCACCCATTTCATAAACACTCAAGTTCTACATTAGAATCACGGTTAAACATAGGAGCCTTCTATTTGAAAACTGTAGTTATGTGTATGTGTATACACACCGTATCTCTTAACTACTGTAAAGAGGCATCCCTATATGCTAAGTTTCCAGGAACAGTTCAGTTCTCTGAGGAAAGGCAGTGCCAGCAGCTGCCTGCTTCATTTGACTCTGTCCCGCATAGTTCTTAGCATTAGATGGCTTTGCTGTATCAGAAAGGAGTTCAAGGAAGGGTTTCAAGTACACAAACTCCATGGAAGGACAGCTATGGACTTATTTTCTTCCTAAAGACTTAATTGAATTCCCTTTCCAAATCCACCTTCAATGGTGTCAAAAACAAAAATCAAAAACCAAAATGAGACTGAGAAGATTGTTATTTCTGTCAGCTTCAATTTCCTCATCTTCATAGATTATGCTGTCTCTGCTCTTCTGAAGCCCTCTTTGGGCAACCTCATACTGTAGCTCTCTAGTTGTCCCACCCATTTCTTTACAAAGATCATCCAACCCAACAATATAGAAAGGCCACCAGTGCTTGTCTTGGCCCCCTGGCCCTTTACTCATGCTGTTCTCTGAGACCAGGGCAGAGCATTGCTTCAGGCAGCCTGTTTCTTTCTCACTGGATGATCTTCATCACCATCCTCTTGCTTGTATGTCTTTCTAAAGTAGAGTAAAGCCTTCCCACAGGCCTGTGTCCTGTCAGGGCTGTGAGCCTTGTGAGTTGAGATGGCACCCAGGGGAGTGTGGAAGCTGCTTCCATATCTTGGGCTGTACACGGTCCCAGGTTTGAGAGTTACGGTGACCTTGAATGTTGGGAGGTACCCTCCTCAGAACTCAGTGAAGACCCTCTTGCCTCTCTCTTTTTTTTTTTTTGCGGTACGCGGGCCTCTCACTGTTGTGGCCTCTCCCGTTGCAGAGCACAGGCTCCGGACACGCAGGCTCAGCGGCCATGGCTCACGGGCCTAGCCGCTCTGCGGCATGTGGGATCTTCCCGGACCGGGGCACGAACCCGTGTCCCCTGCATCGGCAGGTGGTCTCTCAACCACTGCGCCACCAGGGAAGCCCCCACTTGCCTCTCTTTGATAACATATTAACAAGTTCACAAAGGAAAACCTCCTCTATCACAGAGGCAAGGCTTTGTGGGTGACAAGAAACCTGGAGATAGAAACTAACTTGTTAGGCTGTCCTTACCACTGAACACTGAGTGCTGAAGAAGGGATGCCCACTTCTGTAGCCACAGCAGCATTCACCACAGTGCATAGAGAAGATGCCCCAGTACATAACTGAAAGCAGAAAGCAGCCAGGCAAAGTGTAGTGAACTCTATCTTCTACCCCACAGCCATTTCTATCACTTTGCACTAGCCACTGCCACTCAGGTCATCTGCTGCTGTAACCACTCAGCAGGACACACAATGTCACTCCTTGGCACCCCAACTGTTAACAGTGGTCAGCCGCCTACTGGAATGGCTTCCCTCTCTTCTCCCAACACCACTGCCACCACAGCACATGCTCGACTGTGTCACTGGTGAAACAGCAGGTAGGAATGAGTAGCAATTGACTAGGGGGATGAGGAACCACAGCTGGAGTGGATAAAAAACAGCTATTTTATTCTACTTGAAAATAACTCTAAAGTAAGCAGGATAAACATTGTTATTTCAGGTTTACAGACAAGGAAAATGAAGCTCAGAGAGGTTTTGGTGACTTACTCCAGGTAATGCTCTACAAAGTGGTGGAGCTAATCTAGAACCTGTATCTTTAGATTTGTAACTTGATGCTTGTCCACTATAACTGTTCTACAACCTGTGGTTTATGCAGCAGGTATATTTATTTTCTAATATCAATTTATATTCAATAATTTTCTCACTTGAAAAAAAACTCTGATTTCTTAGAAAGGTAGGTTACTTCTGAAATGGTTTTACTTTATTTTCTTAATTTCTAAAAAGAATTTAATTATATTTATAGAAAAGTAATCTTCTTAAATTGGATAATTATTTATTATTACTCAAATTGATGTTCATGTCTCTCAGGATTTTCAAGTTTTCTTAAAGAGGTTTTTAATTGAAAATAATACGTACACTGTATTATGGTAGAAAATATTTCCTTTTAGGGGCTAGTAAATTATTCACTTCATTGCCCTCAGAGATAAATTACTCATAAAAAATGCTTTTATGAATAAGATTATATGATGCTTATTCTAACAGTTTAGGATATGTGGGCCTTCAAATTTTAATTTTTTTTATATGGCAGTTTTGTTTCTTACAAGTTAACAAAATAATTCAATTCTCTGTAAAAATAAATATATTGTTTATTAAAGGCCTATGTTCTTTAACATATATCAAAATGGGCCAGCTACAGAGATCTACAGTGCAAAGTATGTTATTTATTACCCAGGGTGGCATTTCTAGCTCAGCAGGCAGTTCAAAAGTCTTTAAAAATTTCTATTCTGGTTATCTGGCAATACTAATCATTAGGATACCCAATAAAAATTTTTTTACCTAGAAGTCAACGTGTAAGCAGATATATTTATACAGTAGCTATTCTTTCATATTGCTCAATACCTCTTGTCAATTTTAGAATTTTATATATACAAAATATACATATATAATACATATACATATATTTTAATTCCTTTCTCTGAGTAAATCATTTCATATCTCATATATTTTGTCTCTAAACAAACTTTTAGCACAAGTTTTTTAAAATATGAAATCCCTAACAGAAATAAACTTTTTAAACTGGGAATGATGCTTTGTTCACTGCAAAAATGGATTCAGAGAAGCATCTTCAAGATAAGTAGAATGAAGGAAACTAACTAATCCTTCCTAGTTAAGGAAACAAAGACTTTCCATCTTGTTCTTTAGCTGTTTTGCTTTACCACATAAACATGATTACTTACCAAGCGGCAAAAATGCAAGACGGTTTCCAGCCATGGAGAGCTCATTGAGGCTGGGCAGCTGGCAGAGATGGCGCGGCACACACCACAGACGATTTCGGTCCACAGTGAGGTACTGCAGAGAAAGGCACAGGTGAAGCCTCTCGGGTAAAGTTAGCAAACGATTGGTAGAAATGTCTAGTGTCTGCAGCTCCTTCAAATCGCCAACCTCTACAACCAAAATCAAGATAAATTGCATCCTGATTAAATGAATTAATTAAATAAAATGAATCAACACTGTAACAGTTCAACCAAATAAAATTAGTAGCTGCAAATATTTCCATAGACATTAATACTGAAGTGCAGGATTTAGGTCCAGTATGCAAATAATCCAACTTAAGTAGGTGTCTTTAAATTAGTCTGCCAGAATTTTTTTAAAAAGGGAAAAGCGCTGGCATTGGAGAAAGGAGAAACACAAAGTGATGAATCTGAGCCAAAAGTCTGTTACTATGGCTTCTGCTTCCCAATGAATCAAAAGTTGTTGCAAATGTGAAAGAAGAACAATTACAGTCACTTCATGGTAACTGGTTCTTGCTACTTTTGTGGTTTTTACCTTCTATCTAAGTAGATAGTAGGAGACTTAAAAACATAAATTATAGTATCCCAGTAAGTGTACCTTGTTCATGTGAACTAAGTAGAAAATTTCTGGACTAAGAATGAGGATGGCTTTTGAAATTTTCACCACAGTTAAGATTATAATAATAAAATTATTGTAAGGTAATATTTTTAGACATTGTCTAGCCATGTGGTTCCTCTTTTAAAACCCAAAATCCTATGAAGATTTACTTTAATCCCACCTGAATGAAATCCTTCCATTTACTCCAATATTCCTTCATTATTGGTGTCTATATTTGTAACATATTTGTATATATTTGTAATCTATTCCATGGTGAGACATGGCATACACCAAATCACCACTTCTGAAAGAGGGGGGAAGTTCTTTATAAGGTATTCTGTCCTTCTCAGGGAAAACCACCAGGAAGCACTCAGAGCAGAGGAGGTTCTGCTAACCAGTCTCTAGGGGAAGGACATTACTCTGTCCAGGACAGCACACTGCACTCGAGGCTCTACAGGGAGCACTGCGCAGGACAAGTCTGCTTCTCTCGTATCACGGAACTTCCGTATTGAAGACCACTGTAATGCCACCTCTCACTTCTCCAACCTGACCCTGTTCAACAAGCTGTTCCTCTCAGGTTAAGGTTTCTCATGATCCTTCCAACTTGAATGCACCCCACTGGGCACATTCCAGTTTGTTCAGGACTTGGATTAGTATGAGCAATGTCTTCTCTATTGGAGAGAAAATCTTCTGCCTCTTGGATGTCCAGTTACACAGATTAGCTTTTCTTATTGGCAGACAGCTTGGCAAACTATGGCTCACAGGCAAAATGTGGCCCATGGCCCACTTTTGTACTGCACGCAAGCTAAGACTGGTTATTTTTAAGTGTGGTAAAACCCAACAACAACGATAAGAAAAAAAAATGTATATATATGTATATACACACACATATGACAGAGACCATATGTGGCCTGCAAAGCCTAAAAACATTTAGTATCTCACCATTTACAAAAAAAAGTTTGCTGGTCTTTGTTATACACTTACTCTTAACAGGAGCGTTTTTAATAACTATTTTTTATAAAAGTAATACAAGTGCAAAAATACATTAATTTCTAGTTATTTTACTAATATATAGAAGGGATTTGTGCTAGGAAGTTCACACTTTATTTTCTTATTTCCCCAATACTACACAAATACATATTTGAAGACAGGAGATAGGATTCAATGAACAGTCTGTGACTCCCAATGGGAGTTTTGCTCTGTTTTCACCTAGCTGATGCACATGGGGGTCAATTTCACTCTTGGCTCCATTAGCACAGTATTTCCTCTAGCCAAGTCTGTCTGCCTATCTATTTCAGATTGCTTCTGATGGGGTGTGTGGGGGGTGAGGGAGTTGACAGAAGAACATGTTTTAGAACTGAATAAAAAGAAAAAGAAACAAGAAATCTTCCTGACCTCACTTTATAAAGTTATTAGGGGAGTGAAATGGGACAGAAATGCAACGAATCAGCTTACACACCACAGAGCCAGGTGCTGAGAGAAGAATGAGACAAGGTTTCTGCCACTAAGAATCACATTACATATAAAAGACATTGTGTGATAGGAGCTCCGGAAAAGAAGAGTTAGATGAAGGGTTGGAGAAGCTTTTGCAAAATTTATTGAAGGAAATGAGAACTCAAATAGGTCAAAAATAAAATGGATATAGCATTTCAAGCGAGGCATGGGGATGGGGTTGAAAGCATGAGGAAAGGCATGCAAGTGAAAAAATAAATACAACATGCACAATGGACTATTTGAGACCCGACAAGTACCAAAGATACCAATGGGAAAAAAAGCAGAAAATAAGTTCAGTACAGAGGGCTTGGTGGAGACATTGATGATAATGAATACTGGGTAGAGAAGTTTGGACTTATCACAGTGAGAACATAACACTTCCTGAAGATTCTCAAAGGATGAAAGGACTCTTTTGGAAATATGAAAATGGTAAATATGCAGAAAGCAATGAAATGGAAAGAGATTATAGGCAGAGAAAACAAGTAGACAGTTGATGAGAATGAAGGCAGTGTGACAGAGCTTACAGGTAAATTCCAGAGATATTTTAAGAAAAGCAGAGAGTATGCTTGGTTGGAGATGGAAAATGGTGAAACAGGAAAAAGTCAAAGATAATTTTCAAGTTTCTAGACTATTATACTCTAAGTATGGTGATGCCAATGCTAAAAGCTTAATCTTTCTGTAGAAAAAAAATTTTAATTATACCAATACTTCTGAATTGTAGTACTTATAAGCCACCTACTTAAAAGAATTTGAAAAATCCATAAAAAATCACATGGGAGTAAAGCAAAATAAACTATTTTCATCATTATTTCAAAAATAATTAACTGTGTAAAACAGTGTTTTGACATGGCTGCAAAAACTACTAAAGCGGGCTTCCCTGGTGGCGCAGTGGTTGAGAGTCTGCCTGCCGATGCAGGGGACATGGGTTCGTGCCCCGGTCCGGGAAGGTCCCACATGCCGCGGAGCGGCTGGGCCCGTGAGCCATGGCCGCTGAGCCTGCACGTCCGGAGCCTGTGCTCCGCAGCGGGAGAGGCCACAGCAGTGAGAGGCCGGCGTACCGCAAAAACAAAAAAAACAAAAAAAACAAAAAACTACTAAGGCTTGCAACTGTCCACCATTTTGATTCAGCATTGCCTTATTGTACTGTGAAATGGGGAAACAATATGTGATTATGAATTTAAATTTTCTAAAATTTGATTATTTACTTTTAACAGATCAGTATTCACATGCTGCTTTAACAGATACACATACATTTTCAGATATTAAAATTAATAACACTTTTGACAAAGAAAAGAACACATACTGTCAGTATCAAAGGTCAAAATACTAAGGAATGGGAAGAGGAAACAGGAGCTGACATTTCTTATTTCCTATATGTGATGAATAAGACTTAAACATGCAGGACTGCATATATTAAATGAACAAATGTAACAAAAGGACATTTTTGTCTAAGTAGCTTAATATATAGGCCTTTCCATTTGTTAGAAAAAACCTGAGCTAATTATAATATTACTCCAATTACAGTACTGAGTAAAATACTATATATAATATAGTTGGAAAATTAACGATTTTGTCATCCTACGAAAATATTTGGGAAAGAGAGAGAAATAAAATTAAATAGCTTCTCAGGTGGAGTGAAATAAACATAATTTTCATGACCATTTTAAAACAGGCCACAAATATAAGACTATACATGGCATCTTTATTCTAACAAAATTAAAATATATACTTATTAAGCTCAGCTAATGGGAAGCACATTTTTAGAAAACAACAGAGTCAAACAAACTTTATCTAAGATTCTAACTTAAACATAAGAGACAGGAAATAAACCTGGGGTAGCAATATATCATGCAGGAATAAAGAAACAGAGCCCAAAGTGTGAGCTCAAGTTAAAAACTGGAAAACTATCAGCCAAACATAAATCTAGCAAATTTGGTCAAGTTCAGAACCTACACTGAGGCCAGGACAACAGGATACTCTTATATACTCTGCTGCTCTTCCTTCATTCCTGAAGATCCAAGTACCCTGCTTATATCATTTCCACCAGCCTGAAGAAATTTTATTTCTTTTAGAGTAGGTATGCTGGCAACAAATTCTCTTAGTTTCCCTGGGAATGTCTTTATATCACTGTAATTCCTAGAAATTGTTTTCATTAGGTACATAATTCAGGGTTGACCATTCTTTACTTTCAGTACTTTTAGATGGTATTCCACTGTCTTCCAGTCACCGTGGTGTCTGAGAAGAAATCCACAATTATTTGAATCATTATTTCTTTAGGTGTTCTCAAGAATTGTTCTTTATCTTTAGTCATTAGCAGACTGATTACAATGTATCTATAAATGGCTTTCTTTGAACTTATCCTATTTGGAGTCTGCTGAGCTTTTTAAATTTGTAAATTTATGTCTTTCACCAAATTTTTGAAGTTTTAGACATTATGTCTTCAAATTTAAGAATTATTATATCTGGGTAAATATAACAAACTATCACTTTTCTCCTTTTAAGTTAAGTTTTGCATAACTGCTGAAAGCATTTCAATATATGGCGTACTACTTATAAGTGTAACACAAAGGTCAGTGGGGTAATGTAAAAGGAGTTCCAAAGCAGATTTTGAAAGATTTGTATAATGTAATCCCTAAAGCAATAACTAAAAATAAGATAAACACTCAAAAAAAGATAAACCCAAAAAGCCAATAAATGAATTAAAACAGAATACAAAACATACATTCAAATAATACCAAAAAAGGCAGGGAAAAGGGAACAAAGAAAGAAAACCAGATGTTACAAACAGACAACTAATAATAAAATGGCAGGCCTAAATCTAACAAGATCAATAATAACATTAAAAGTAAATAGCCTGAGATGACCAGACTGGACTTAAAAACAAGACCTTAGTATATTCTATCTAAAAGGAATCCATTTAAAATATAAATACATAGATAGATAAAACATAAATTAATACAAACATATGCCATGCAAACAACGACCCCCCCCAAAAGCTGGAACTTCCAGTATGATGGATTGAGAAGGATGCCAAATCCTCTGCTGAAAAAGCAACTATAAA